GTTTAAAGGAATGCCCGCCCGACGGTGGCTTGCCTCCTAGATGTAGTAGATGTAGATTCTGCCGTAGACACTCTTGTCCACGAGCACGTTGAGATGGGAAGGTTGCTGGTTATTGCAGAAGCGGGTCTGCTACAGGTTTGAGGTGAGGCGGATTACCCTCACCTGGGGTCACGCAGATACCTAAGTCCCGATGGGGTACGTCCTAAGAGGGTATACCTCCTGACGTCCCCCATCTTAATCTAGACCGACTGTGTACCCTATCTGTGCCATACAGCAACACTCCTGAACAACAGGCTACCTCACCTCCGGAGAGATTGAGACAGAAGGAGGTACTGGATAGAGAGACCGGGATGGTTTTTTATGTGAAGACAACAACAACAACAACCTCCCAAAAAAAAAAAAAGTCGTAAGTGCTGGGAAGATATGGCTCCTGTAATATAGTAGAGGTCCCTGTTTAGTGCCGGTTGAATAGTGCCGGTTGCAGGTATAGTGCCGGTGTTTTCGGCTCGCACACACTGGAATATCAAGTTGTTCTGTACTTTGAACAGTGCCAGTGCCCGGTATAGTGCCGGTGAAATTTTTGCGCACACCCCGGCACTAAACGGGGACCTCTACTGTACCCCTAATTTTTCCGGTAAAATACGGTGGAAAACACCCCCGCCCCCGTTAAGAGCCACTTTAAAGATGTGGTGATTGCGCGAGATCTAAAGAGTTTCAAGACCTGATTTTTTTCGAACACGCTTTGATTGAACTCGTGTCCATGCAGGAAAAAAACATTTTGGGATCGATCCAGCCAGTTTTCGTTGATCCGGTTTGCCTCGTAGATGTGAGTTGTTCCCTCCGACAACGCCGGGTGCCTCGCCATGAAGCCGTCTAGCCAGCTGCGTCCCGGGCCCTTATCTGGGTCCCAGGGCACTGGGCGTCCGTCGAGGCAGAGCACTCGCACCGCATCTATGAGCTGCTCTGCCGACCGAAACTCAGAAAGTGTCGAGAAGCGTAGATCAACGCATCTTCCACCGAATCTTCTTCCGCCATGCTCAGCACAGTCTCGGGGCCAACCCTCGCATCCATGGCCATAGCACCGCTCAAACGTCGCGAGAGCGCGTCCTTGTTCACCCCGTAGGCCTTGGCAGCAGCCCTGAGAGACAAGTGACCAATGCGGACAGCATCGCAAGCCTTCTGCGCCTGTTGTGGGTCTACTCTTGCCCGGCCCATGCTCGCAATGCTTAGCAACAGGCCCGCCACAGGGATGAAAATGACCCGCATCGCGGGTGTGGGAGGGCGTGTTGCTGTATCTCGTGGGTGCGTGACCCGATCGGGACGCTGAAGTGCTCAAACGACCACGCACGACAATCAGGCCGACGGCTTCCACCACGCCTGGCGCAGCCCCGCCTCGAGGGCCCAGTAGTGGGAACGAGCAACGTGTATCCCCTACTCGTGATACAACAGCGACCGCGGGAAAGGAGGTTCGTACAGAGCCACCNCCACGCACGACAATCAGGCCGACGGCTTCCACCACGCCTGGCGCAGCCCCGCCTCGAGGGCCCAGTAGTGGGAACGAGCAACGTGCATCCCCAACTCGTGATACAACAGCGACCGCGGGAAAGGAGGTTCGTACAGAGCCACCTTTGTTCGACTGCTGGCCCCTCCCTAGTTTGAGGCAGGAGGCCACGCGGGAGGCTGGCCGGAGGAATGCGTTGAAGTTTGGTCCACTGCCTGAACAAGAGCTTCGACAAATTTCGAATGCAAGCAAACAGGAGTTGATCGACGCACTGACGGGTCGCATGAAGTGGCGCGCAAGTCTTGGTGTAGAGCCTGAGTGGAAAGGCATCCGCTGCGGCGTTACGCCGGAGAAGAAGAAGCAGCTGCGGCGTAGTCGACAAACTGGTCAGCCGACACCTAACTCGTCCCAGGCACTATGCTGTCGGCTGGTGTGCCTAACTTTGCACCCGGAGTTCAAGGACGACTACATGTGCTTCAGGGGGGGTGGGGAGGGCACAGCGCGCACCGAACTGGACGTACGGGCGACGGGCGCGAAGCACAGGTTTTTCGCCCGGGTTGCCAGGGCGATGGCGACTCCCACCTGGCGCGACGGCAACGGTAACCCCCTCTCAGTACCCAACGATTACTCCAAAGACGAGCTCGCATCGCAGCATCTGAAGTCTCTCCTAAAGCGGCTGGACCTACGGCTAAGTCGCTGCAGGAGGAACTCAGGGGGAAATTCAAAGGCGATGAGGGCGCCCTTTATGCTGATCTCCAATTGAGATGTTTCAATTGGCTGAAAGAAGTACGGCGCAAGCACACGGTGAGTGTAGCGGTGTTCTAGTGTTCATTCTGCAGGTGGCAGCGTCGTCCTGCCGTGGCTACACAGGATGCAGGAACAGGATGCAGGACGTCTTCGTATTTTGTCGGTCTGCAGTGCTCGTCTTGGGATATCTGTGCGTGCATCAGCAGTCAAGCTAAAAATTTGGCGAGGTGTGAGGTCGATGTAACCATCACTGCAGACGGGTTGCCTTTATATTCCAGTGATGAGCATCCTTCGTTTTGTGTGTGTATTTCTTCTTGTGTTGGGTTTAGCTGCCTTTCCACTCAGGCCCTACACCAAGACTTGCGCGCCAATTCATGCGACCCGTCAGTGCGTCGAGCTGCCTTTCCACTCAGGCCCTACACCAAGACTTGCGCGCCAATTCATGCGACCCGTCAGTGCGTCGATCAACTCCTGTTTGCTTGCATTCGAAATTTGTCGAAGCTCTTGTTCAGGCAGTGGACCAAACTTCAACGCATTCCTCCGGCCAGCCTCCCGCGTGGCCTCCTGCCTCAAACTAGGGAGGGGCCAGCAGTCGAACAAAGGTGGCTCTGTACGAACCTCCTTTCCCGCGGTCGCTGTTGTATCACGAGTTGGGGATGCACGTTGCTCGTTCCCACTACTGGGCCCTCGAGGCGGGGCTGCGCCAGGCGTGGTGGAAGCCGTCGGCCTGATCGTCGCAGCCGATGGCGCTGCCGACGGCGCAGCCGACGGAACAGCTGACGGAACAGGTGGTGATGTACTTGCCGAGGTTCCACCGCTGTGCCCTCCAAGTGAGGATTGCCTAGAACCAGGCGTAGTGGACGATGACAGCGGATCTGCGGGTGGGTACACGGCTGCCGCCGCTACCGTAGCAGACAGCGGAGGCGGGGGTATAGCCCCTCACCCTTGGAGTAGGGAGGCGGAGGGGGAGGAGACATGGAGCCAGCCGTCACCTAGACGTGTTCAGAGTACAAGGAAGGTGAAGAGGCACGGGAAGGCGACATGTCATGGTTATCCCGTGGGCGCGACAAAAACTGTTGGCTCCTCCTCTTGAGGGTTTCATGGTAACTGGCCTTTCATTCATGTGCGGGCGTGCTACCCCCCAAACACCGCCTTTTTATCCATTGCGGCGCCAACCGTTCGAAATCAACAGATGGTCGATTTCATCATGTCCATCACTAATGCGAAACAAAACACGCTGCTCCCGCCACCACCACCACCACCGACGCAAGTAACATCAAAACGCCCGCGGCAGCAGCAGCCGCGCCANGCGCATATTGATTGACTTTCCTACGAGAGGTCGACTTCCAACGATGCGCGATGTGGAAACTGGTTATGGGTACAGGCGGAGTCTTGTGGCCGTGGACGATATAGAGGGCAAAAAATACCGTGTCGCATCATGCATTGATCATAGTTTTTTTTATCGCGTCACGGAACGTGTCCACATACTGTACAGGGGGAATATGCACAC